GTTGCCGTTATTGTTCAAATGATATTCCATATCCGTCATCAGTGATTTAAATGTTCTCCAACAGTAGTAGTAGTAGTTTATACTCACAGATCTTTAGCGTTACTGTTTAATATAAACTGGATATCTATGCTGACAATACTCTGTTGTCAAAGTTAGACTCTTTCTTATTATTCGTTCTTAATAAAAAAAAAAAAAAAAAAGTACAAATTTTTATGACAAAAAATATCTTTTTTGTCTTGTTTCTTTTTTTTTTTTCTATACCAAATTTTTTTATTGTATCTCCATCGTTCACACATCTTTGATGTCTTCTAAGTAAAAATCTAATCACGGATTAGCAATCAGCTAACTGTGCTAAAAAGTATCTAAAAATTGTAAGTTCTTTTGTTTTTTTTTTTTCTACTGATTTTTATGGAAGTAATCAATATAACTTTTAAATAAGTCGCATATTTAAGGTTTTTTATTATCTTTAAGATATTTTTTTACAACTTTTGAAAGCATAATTTTTTCCTTTGCTTTTGTTTTTTGTTTTTTTTGTTAGCTTTCAGTAACCGACAATGCTGGCAACATCAACAAATGTTTGTATAAAATTGTCTAATGAAGATTTATGGAAAGAATTTAATGGTTTTACCACAGAAATGATTGTTACCAAAACTGGAAGGTATGTTTAGTAGAGAGTTTAAAATTGATTCAAAAAAAAAAAGAGATAAATGAATAGATAAAATTTTTATAAGTTATAAACTAAAGTTTATTTAGAAAACTGTTTCCAAAAGTGGAGATATCTGTAGAAGGATTGGAACCTGATGAGCAATATGTTATACTGCTACAAATAGAACCTGTTGGAAATACTAGGTTTTTTTTTTTTTACAAATTTATTTGATTATCATTTGTCATCAACAATACTGTTTAAATTTTATTGAACTAAAACAAATAAGCCTTGAAAGAAGTTTAGATTTAAATTTGCTAACGGTGGATGGTTACCAGCAGGATGTGCAGATCCGGGAAATGCACCAAAACCGTTGTCACATCATGACGGTGCACAGTTGGGTAAAACTTGGATGCGAGGACCGATATGCTTTGATCGAGTAAAGTTGACCAATTGTCCAGCCGATGGAGGCCAACGGGTATATCAATCTGTTTTTATAGTTATTAGTTTCACCTCTTTCATACAATAAGCAACTGATCTTTTATTGCCCAATTATTTTTGCATCATCATCATTTTTTTTTTTTATCTTAGATACAATTTTCTTCTTAGTCTATAAACTAATGTTGCTAAAAAAAAAAAAAAAA